TGAGGGGAATTATGGGGGGGGGGCTGGTGGTTGCATGTTAAGGGGGGGGGGGGGCGTATAATAGTCGATCCATTTATTTGCTAGTTGATTGCTTTATTTCTCATTTGCTCAATTTTCTTTTTCGCAGAAAGGCAAATTTGGTTCATTTTGAAAAGATTATGATTGTTGTTTTGTATTTCTGAGAAATAAAGCTATCCAATTTACGCTAAGCGATACAATTTCATGTTTTCCACACCTCGATGCTAGTCGAGCTTTATGCTAGCCAAGCGGTCACCGGACGCTTCCCCCTTAGGGATTCGAAATCTGCCGACCCAAAAGGTCCCCCCTTTGTACTATTTTGAGACATCAATTTTTGGCTGACTAACCCTAAAATTTTTCTTAAGGAGCCTTTGGCGCCAATCTAAACTAATTTTGAGGGGGGAGGGCGCTTTTTGGTCAAAATTTTCCAAAAATTGCCTAAAAACGCCCTTTTTCAAAAATTTCCCTGCGGCGCAGAACATTTCGTCATCAAATTAGGGTCTTAATAGTGATTTGGGAGAGCTAAGAAATCTATTTTGCCGACCTAAAAAAAGGTCGACAAAATTTTCAATTTTTCTGAAAATCCCCCCCCCCCCCCCCCGAGAAATTGCTAGATCCGCGCCTTAACACAATAACAGTAATCGCAAACACTCTTACTTTTAGCATACCTATTTTTTTTCACAAACTACCATTCAAATCAGCAAAAAAATTAGGAACACAAACAAAAGAGCACTTAGGTTGGAAAAATTTGAACTCTTGTAAAATTATACAAAACTGTTCGAATCAGTGCAAAACCCTATATATATTCTACACTGTCTTCGAACATCAGAATAAAACGCGTTCGCTAGCGTAAAAACATTATAGAATCGTTGAACTCTGTCTACTTACTATAGCTTCGTGGCTGTGCAAAAAAATTGTGCAAAAAGTTGAAAAAAGATTGCTGATCTCGGAGCAGAGCTGATCTTTTGCTAGCCTTGAGATTTTTTGTCAAACAAAGAAGCAGTATCAAGCTCCAAGTAGAATAGATTGCGAGTATAGAACAATTCATCGGACCAACTAGACTGCCAAAACTTGATTTGAAACGACTTTCGACTTGATTTCAATTTTTATCGACTTGTTTTTTAAATCGATCAGAATTTTTGTCAATATTGACATCGGAGAAGTTTTTCGAAGAAATTTGTGTAAATCAGCTAGCATAGTTTCAAAACATTGAAAACCGAGGGTTGGTAGCATGCTTCTGTTCACATGTGAGATGTCAGTCTGAATTGTCATTTTAAAAGTGTTGCTTAAGAAGTGGCCGTCTTTTTACCAACGAAAAAAACTGGTCCCTTGTCTGTATTTTTCAAGCATTTTTCCACGTGTTTTTGTACTGAGAAGACCCAGAAATTGGAACAAAATTTAAAACTTTTTGCGACAATTTTTGCATAAAGCAACGACTATTTCGAAAACCAAGTTTTATGGTGAGCCAGCCATCAGAGTACCGATAAATAAATTGAAGTTTTTTCAGAATTCTGAAGATCCTGTATCATCCTTTTGTATGATTCTTAAGATGTTTCTTAATCTCAGCAGTAAGAATTTCACTCATAGCTGTGAACAAAAGCAAAACATCTTTTTAGTTAAAAATACCGACAATTGACTCAGGTTCTCAGGTTACACAAATGTTTCTTCAACTAAAACTGCGGCTCTTTTTTTTTTCCTTTTTCTCCCACCTGCAAATTTTTATATATGAAGTTACTGTTCACTTTGTCCGATTGTCATGAAAATTGGCGTGTGGACTAATTAGGCCATGACAAACATATTTGGTCTCCATAATAAACCTTGTAAGACCGCCCGTTAGACCATAAAATTCATGTTTGAGTGAGGTGGGGGGAGGAGGAGTAAGAGCCAAAACTGCCATAACGTAATATGCTTCAATGTGGCTAAATCAATTAACATAATCTTTTCGCTCTACAGTACACCAATAGATGTAAATAAAATAAAATAATCCTAATTGAACGGTTGATCGTAGAAGAATCCAAAGAGGTAATTGGAATCTAGTCCCAAATTTTCGGACCAACCGATGAGCATGCAAATGCAAAGTTGAAACATAGCCAACAGACAATTGGAAAAGAGTCAATGAATGATGTAAATAGAAAATCTCAACTTTCAAATTTTCAAGCAAGAAATTGATGCGCTTGAAGCTCTTTGATTTTCCTAGAACAATTTATGAGTGACACTTTTTTGATAAAATAAACCCAATTTGAAAAAACACGGGCAATAGGAAAAGAAATTATATTTCACTGGGAAATCTGATAATTAAATTCCATTTTCAAAATTAGACAACAATCACGTTTTTCGAGGACCATTAAATTGTTGCTGTTCAATAGTGGAGTTTGCCTTCATTTGAACACAGGAAATGAAGTGAATTTAAATAAAATCAAATGTCAAACCTATATTAGAGTCTGAACGACGTTCACTGACTCTTAAATCAAAAAGTAAAGTTGTATTTCACCGGAAAATCTGATGATTAAATTCCATTTTCGAAATTAGACGTTGATCACGCTTTTCGTGACCTTAACACTTTTGCTGATCGATAGTGAAATTGGCCTTCCTTGTAACAAAGGAAGAGCGGTGAGTTTAAAAGGAAACCAATAGTAAAATCGCGAGAAAATAAACAAATTGAGGCGGTCAACAAATTTTAACTTTTTTCCTGTAAAAAAAAATTAAAAAATCACCAAGACCCTTATAAGTACGTTTATCACTCCTGAATTTGTTTAAGCTCATTTCATTTCAAATACTTTTTACGACAAGCACTTTACTGAATTCATCCGATTTAAAGCAAACTAAATCAATATAACTTTTTCCGCTGTGATCTCGGAAAACAAAATCAATTCTCAAATCTAGAAACCATTCACGTTTTTGTGGCTTTTCTACACTTGCTGTTCAAGTTTAGCGCTGTTCGAGTTAAGAAAAGAAATGAAGTGAAATGAACAAGAAACTATCAGTCAAACTCGAAAAACTAAAGTTGACCATGAACAAATTTTCTGAAAAAGAAAATAAATAAAAATCATCGAGACCTTTCAGAGTGAAAATCAGTTCGTCCTTTTACAATAATATTATTAACCTGTCACCTAACTACCTAGTGAGTAGTTACCCGATTTGCCCAAAACTTCTTATCAGACAATTTCCATATATGAAAAAGTTCTTATCATACAATTTCATACAATTCCGTCAAGAACAAAAAAATTGTGTGAAATCTCTATGATGAGCATTTTTCCACATAGGAAAAATATATGACAAGTATTTTTCCAAAAACAAAAAAGTTTTTTTTTTCTAAAATTAATTTCTGCAAAATTTTGGGTTGTGTTCGTAACCGCGAACGCAGATGACAAACATCTTGGTTTACTCAATGCACCGAAGGTTGGACTTGTTTTGCATTTTATTGCGTAGAACACAATCTGAATTGTCTTGGAGCTGTCTTTCACAAATCATATAAGAAAGGTAACAAATTTTTGAATTTGGCAAAATTTTTTAACAAATATTTTTAAAATTTGAATTTTTAAATTATCAGACATTGATCAAGGCATACATAAACATGCCATGGAAAAAAAGGAGCTTACAGCGTTTTCGAAAAAAATTATTAAGCGAAAAGGAAAAAAATTCCAACATTAGTGTATCGAGGACTACGTTATGCAGCCAAAAACTAAGATTTGCATGCAAAAATTTTTTTTGGAAAAAGTTTGTTTGAGTACAAATTTCGATTTGCGGTTAAAACAAAAAACTTTTTGGGGCAATTTCAAAATTACTTCTGTCGCCATCAAAAAATTGTGTCGCCATCAAAAAAAATGCTGGTCATGCAAATTCCATATGGGAATTGTATGATAAGCTTTTTTTTCAAAAAACAAAAACCTCGGTTTTTTCATCACCAGACTGTTTTATTAGAATCATACAGCCGCAGAAATTAGTTTATATCTTTTTTCAACCAAAAATTTTTCATACACTTGATGTATGGAATTGTATGATAAGCGTTTTTGGTGATCGAGGTCAACCCGGGTAACTTTGCACACTCTGCCATTACCCTTGAAATAAAAGCGGCAAATATTCCATGCACAACACATGCTCAACAACCGAATCTTTTTGTTTTGACGGTGCTAGACCTCGCATTTACTATGATTACAAGAATGTTATTTGACTGACATGAAGACGCACACTTAAAAGCAAAAACAACAATTGGCAGATAAATTTGAAAATTAAGTTAGGATCACATTTCTCAGAGATTGTCGTTTCGCGTTGGCAAAAAATTGCGTTTCGCGTTGGCGTGAGAAGTTAATTGGCAAAAACTTTTTTTTGATCATTGAAAAACCGCAATATTTTAAATGCAAAAAGTACGGATTTGCTTAAAAAATAATTCAACGGAAAATGAATTTTTGACCTATGACAGACTAATACATTCACCAGTCCAAATCAAACTAAAAGTTTTTCATGTTAACTTCAGTGCCTCCTCACTTACTACCGAACTTAGTCTAGGTTAGGTTAGACAGAGTAACAATTTCTTCAACCTCAGTCGAGTAGTTGGCAATAATAAACAAAGCCAGAGGATATAGACATATTATATTCCCTTTTAGCATACAGAACCATTTCGTTCCAACTACCATCATCCAAGCAGACACTCTAAAAGGCAGACACGTCCAGGAGCAGATAACTTTTATGTATAATTGATGTTAACTGACAACCAAACACAAAATGTTCCAATTTCAGTATCTGCTGAAGCTTATTAGACTCAAAATCAATTACAGTCAAATTCATTAGGGTAGAAGGGAAAAACAATTCTCTTGATTATAAAGAAGGCTTTAAAAAGCTATGGGTGAAAAAGTCTTTTTAAGAAAATCCGATTTGAAATGCGCACTTTCATGCTATTCAGTCTTTGCCTTTTGTGATAAGTTGGGTTTTTATTATAAGTGTTGTATGCTTATGCTTGTATATATTCTTCACTTATTGTACAGGGTTGGCAATTGTTACCTAAATCCACTGTCTGCACATTTGCTGCTCAACCTATACTTTACCACAGCGACTGCGGAACTAAGAAGAGACAACAACGTGGATACGGTTAGCGTCACGGTCAGTACACTTGTCCATGTAAAATCACAGACTGCTTTCATGATGATTATTAAACCGTTATACTCCTAAAAACATCAACAACTGAAATAATTCAACCGTCGCTATAACATAAGGGAGTATCAAGACGATGGACACTTTTTGGTTACAGAAAATTTTTATATAGAAAAAATAATACAATCCAGCCGTTGAATCAACCATTGATAAATTCAATTTCAAACTGGAGGAAGATTTACGAATTATAAAACTTGCAAATGAAGTCATTTAAATTTACCATTTTTAATATTTTATTCAGTTCATTCATTTCAAAACGCAAATACTAATTACCCCCCCCCCCCCTTCCCCTATCAAGAAAGGGGAAATAATTAATCAAGTAAATTAAGTAAGTCGAAATTTCGACCGATCAGAATGCAGCAAAATTTAACTTACTCCACAAAGCCCCCTGAATTCGAATATATAAATAATAATTGATAAAATTAAAAACTAGCCAGCCAATGGACACGAAATATTTTTTTCTATAACTATTAACACTTGCAAACGATAATCATTTCCATTTAAAATATAGTTGATATCTTGAAATATAGATATTTACATGAAATTAAATGAATTAAGTCAGTGGCATGTGAACAACTAAAACACGCATTAATAGAGAAGTTATGGACTTGTTTTATTCTATTCGATAAATTAAATCATTGTTAATTTAAAATTAATTAAATAAGTAATTGAAACAAATACACTAAAGCGTGCATACTGGTCATACAACGCACGCACGAACTGGTCCCGCATCAAGAGCATCCTCCGCCAAGTTTATGTGTCAAAGGTCAGTCTGCTGCCAAGCTACGTGGTCGAGTTCTTGTGGCGTGAGTGAAACAGAAAGTACAGTATTGAAGCCTTTTTAATTTTTTCTTCAGCTCTAAAAATAATACGAAAAAGTGCATATTTTTTGTTGTTAGTTTTCACAATTTTTAAGTCAGATTCGAAGTATCAAAAGAACGCACTAGTGCTGATTTAATGCTTTTATTTAGGGTTGACAACTCTTTAACAGATACCACAGGGAGGCACAGATACCACCGGAACAAATTTACAAATATATATTTTCATATCTTCTATTTCAAATTTCTAAAGAAATTCCTGTTTAGCTTCATTTGTTACTCTGAAAATTCGTATCCTTTTTCAATGCTAAACAAACATGAGCTGATTCCATATATTGCATCACCGCCGCGTTGAAAAAAAAACTAAATGAAATCTATGGAAAAAATAGACTCCATTTCAATATAAAAAACAATATTAGCTTAGACTTCTAATAACAAAGTCAAGTATTCGTAATTCAGTTTTTAAAGCTAAGCTTTGCTCGTTTTATCCAAAAATTAGATGTTGCCTGTTTATTTCAGAGCTAATTTGGAGATAACCTTTGGAAAGTCGAGCATGAAGTTAGAAGCTTAGTTCAGATAGTCAATTTTTGTTGACCCGTCCCAATTCTACTTGGATTTCATATTTACAAAATTCTGTTAGCTTATTAGGCCCATATTTATATCAGCTGTAACGCCGAAGGCCGATTTCAGACTCGAGCATGTCGCATCAAATATATTAGCAGCGAATTTGTCTCCACAATTCATTTTCATACCAAAAAAAATAATTATGACTCGAAATTTTTAATATCCATTCATTTACTTTCATTCGCTGCTTACTTTTGATCAGAGAAAAAAGCTGCAAATTCTTTTTTCTCTGATAAAAAAATGGTTTGCACAGAAAATCTTCTGAAGTACTACCGGTTGCCAGAAAAAGCTCTGAGCTATATTTTCTACAAAAACGGCTATTTTGTCGCATCTAAACCCTGGCTATTCATAGTAGGAAGCATAGTTCTATTCCTCATAACTGGCTCAGGAATGTTCCGGATGCAAGCGGAAAAGCCCGAGGATGTCTGGAACCTCTATTTTCCGGAGGGCAATCCAGCATCAGAAGGATACATGAAGCTCAGCAATGACTTCCCCTCTCATAGTGGCGACAACTACTGGCCTTTCCAGGACACCGGAGAAATGGTGTCGCTAAACGCGCTGTTTTTAATCGAAGCCGATAAGAGCAATCTTTCAGAAGTTATCAGAAGCGTACGGCAAAGCTGCGAGCTCGTCAAATCATTCTCGGCCAAAATTAACGGCAAAGATTACATGTACAGAAACGTTTGTGCTATGCAACCTGATTTCATCGGACATTTCTGTACGTTTCCCACAATTTGCGAGGACCTCGAGCGCAAACCGAACGTGCTATGCGACGAAAACATCTACAAACTGGAAGCTAACTTTGTATACGACCACACGGTGTTAATTGATTCACATAAATGCGAGCCACTACGGGAAATTGTTGCAACTCCAGCTATACGGTTGAATTGGTTCTTCAATAAAGACACCTTACCGAAGCGACGGCTGTCAGAGGATTATATTCGTCAAGTTTTCAACGATTTATACGAGAAGTCGCAAAAAGAGTTCCGAGGAACTGTCTATCTCTTCTCTACGGTGGTTCAATTTGATGAGTACCATTCCATTGTGCAAAGTGACTCGCCTTTTATGGGCGTGACCATCGGCATGATGACAGTATTTTCTATCTTGGTATCCTTGAAGGTTCCGGGCTTTCTCAACAGCCGTTCCATTCTAGCTCTTGCCGGAGTTGTGGCCACGTGTTTTGCTATCGGCTCAACATTGGGAGTTTTGGCGTTACTCGGGATTCCTTTTATAGAAGTGGCATTCTTGACTCCGTTCATAATGCTTGGTGAGTGCGCTTGGCGAGTTGTTTGGTGAAAGCTTCTAAAATGTAAACGAAATTGCTGTCTGACTCTGTTTTAGGCATTGGAATTGACTCGACCTTCGTTCTGATGTTTACATGGGCAAAACAACAGCAACAGCTGCTCGAAACCCTTTTGGACCATTCGAATACTGGCTCCCACTGCTCGACTAATGAGAAGCTAGAATACGGGCATCTGGTATTTGCCACAGATAGCACCCAGGAGTCGTTGGGTTTGAAGAAACCTCAGCTGAAGGACTTGGGTGTAAGAATCTGCGTGGGGGTGACGCTTAAGAAGGCAATGATCTCCATCTTCATATCCTCCATAACCTCTTTCATCGCATTCCTCGTGGGCTCATTCACGCCTTACAGGGCAGTCAACATCACGTGCTATCATTTGGGTAAGTTCAAAAACTACAAGAGAATGAAACCGAGGAAGGGTATTCTTATTTCTACGTCATATAAGTCCTTCCTAGTTCTCAATTTGTGAAGGCCCTTTAGCTTTAGGAACTATTCAAAACATTTTTTCCTTCGAAATCTAAGCAATTTGGAAGGATTTTGTTTGAAAAGTTCAATGTTTGAATAGTTCCAAAACTAAAAGGCAATGTTTCTTGATATCCTCATTAGACTAAATGGTCAGTTGTCAAAAGGAAAAAATATAGGGCAAAAACGACTATCTGCAAAACCGGAAAAGTTAGATAGGTTTTGACTGTTGTTAAACGGCATAATTTTTCAATATGAAAACTTAAGAAACTAATCAAATGGATTTTTCATCAAAAACACTAGCCCCATATCTTCGAATATCAGCTTCAAGAGATAATTTTTTTAGAAGACTTCATTACTAGTTGCCAAATATTTCAGTTATCAAGAACTCATTTTCGTGGAATTAGATGTACAAACAAAGCTCAAAAGGTAATTAAAGAGAAAGTAATATGTACACCAGAAATTTAAAATGTCAAAAACTGAATTATAATATTTATTTTAGCTCAACTATCTAAAGCATATGCAATCTTTCAGTCAATTTTTGATCGTTAAACTAGTTACACATTGTTGACCGGCCTTTGGTGCAGTGCAATCATAAGTGTTTCCGGAAAAGTTTGATTGAAAAATTAACCAGGAAATGATTGCTTTTGAGCTTCATTATGCTCTCGTTTGCCTGAAAGTCGCCTTGCAACACAATAAAAAAAACATGATTTCAAAAAAAATGAAAAATGTTTAAAAAAATAGGCGAACCAAAATTTTCGTATGTCTCGATGAAGGACACCTAATGCGCAGCTAAAGCTGGAGGTAGGTATTTAGTATTTTTTGAATTTGTTATACTGATGAGGGATGAAATGCGTAATTTCGAAAATTAGACTTTGCCCAAAACCTTAGTTGTTTCTCAACTAGTGGGAAGAGTGAAAATTTTTGAGATTTTGGAAATTTCCACCAAAAACCTAGCATTTCTCTTATAAAATTTAAATAGTAGTCGCTTCGACACGAAAAACTTGCGCAACCGCTTCTTTCGATTGAAATTTTTATCAAATGCAGGGGAGTTTTTTTGCTAATGAAGGGGAGTTTCCCACCACCCGTTTTCTCCATTGAACCCACAACCTCAGGTTTGGGAGAAAAATTTTTGAGAAAAATTTGAAAAAGATTTAGAAAAACAGTTAAAAAATCAAAAACTTGACTATTCCGAGGGCCATAAATTTATGTGCAACAAAAATGGGCGGTCTTTCTATGTATACCCCTTTTTTTGAAAATCGGTAAAGATTTTCGGTGAAAAATTTTTTTAATGCAAGTATTAAAATTTTCCAAAGCGCCTTAAGAAACCCAATCCATACAGTTTTATAATACCTGTATTTATCAAACAGGATATCTAGGCAAACAAGCCAAGTAAGACATTTGAAATTCAAATTCGCTACTGGACAAAACTTACGAAGCGGAAACAAGGCCGACAATCTTTGAGCAGACACCAGTTGAGCCGCAGAAAACTTACCATGTAAAAAACTTTAATAAGCTTCAAGTCCCCTGAAACTACACTGTAGTAACAAGTACTCAGTACAATTGTTAACTAGAAAAGTTTATATCCCAGTTTAATAACGCTTGCTTATCGCAGGCGAAAATTTTTTAAATCAAGCTAAAACGCTTAAAATATAACTTGACTTCAAAAAATGTCGCGACAACAAGCCAAAAAATAATACTATTGTGTAACATAACAACTGATTGTCACTGTTGTTATGCAATTGTTACGTAATTCTGATGTTCTTTTTGCGTAATTCTGATGTAATTTTGGCTTCAAGATATGGCGTTTTGTTGAATTTCCACCTTGGTCCTAACTAAACTGCTATCGCTTTGCTTCATAAGTAAAAACCTTATAGTCAAATATTTCATTTGAAAATCACATACGTCAACCCAAAAATTGTAACACGTCCAATTTCTATGGGATATCATGAGCAGGGCAACCACTTTCCGCTCTTTATTTTGCTATTGTATTGCCTGCGAAACAAATAGTATTTCCAAGGAATATTTTCGCCACTATAGCTTATATTTTGTTTTTCGGTGGGTACTGTGCTGATTTAAATTATCCGGACAAAACACTTCAAAGTTGAAATTCAAAACTCGTTTTTCTCAAATGGCGCTACTTTAAACAAAAAATTATGAATAAAAAACTTGCTTACGATTGTAGCAGAATTTTTATGGCGCAATCTGGGCCCACAAATTTCTCCAAAAACGGATCATTTTTGGTTTTTTAGTTGATCAAAAATTACGCCAAAACTACCATGTGAATTACTTAAAAATATTCATATCAAAGTCAGCCTCTTATGTAGCTCAACAAAATTTAAGAAGGGTGTGATCTCCGAAACATTGTTAACATTAACTTGTTTTTGTTTGATAGACAAAAAATGTCATTTTTACCAAAGTAAACTCTCATTTTATATTTCAAAACAATTTTTTGAAGCTGCGCGAACTTTTTGGAGATTATACCCGTCTTAAACTTTGCTGGGCTAGCTACACAAGGGATTCACTCTGATATAAGTTTTTCAATAATTGACTTTTAGTTTTGGCTTAATTTCTGATTAACTAAAAAATCCATTTTTGAGGTAAAATTTTGGGCCCTAATTTCGCAAAACAAATTGCAGAATATAAATTCTACTAAATTTCTAAGCAAGTTTTGTCTTCATTATTTTTGTCTAGAGGTCAACCCAATTTCAGAAAAACGCGTTTTGAATTTCAATTTTATGCGTTTTGTTCGGATCACTCAAATCAGCAATTTACTTATAACTTTCAGAATGAAAACTCAGTTTTTAAGTCTCAAAATAAAGAAAAGTCTTATAAGTTCCAAAAGCTGTTCAATTGATCATTGACTTGGAATCTGACTACTTTTAAGTAATTGCAATTTTTGTTTTTCTTACCCTCTGTCGGCAAGCTCACAAAACATGACCAGGAGTCGTACAGCTCTGCTGCTTATTAGCCAAAAATCTGATGCATCATTAATTTTATGCATGTTTCTGTCATATTCAGTTTTTGATAATATTGGGTTAATTTGATTGGTTTTGGCCAAAACTGTCAAAGTTCAAACCATTTGTATAAAAAACGTCGCAAATTAAAAAAAAACACACACACTTACAACGAAAGTATTATTTTTTCTACAAATTTTTCAGAAACTAGTAATATCAGCAAATGTTGCTGTCTCTGCTACTTTCTACACAATAAGCCATATTGTGTTAGACTTTGCTGCTAGCAAACTTTTTCTAACAGAGCCTGCTTCTGACTCTGATTCTTTAAGTTTCGGGTGCGATATACGTTTGGACCCATGGTAATTCACCAGTTCTCCTGTTTGATTTTTCTAGCAAAAAAAGCACAAGTAACAACGCAAACTATAATTTAACTGCTTTCATTTTATTCTGCCCTTTAGAAAATTACCAATTTCTCCCGCAATCATCTCTTTTGGTTGCCCTAATCATGAGCTTGCTATCGCTTATGATACTCGTCATCGCTTATCAACTTTTCTTTGCAAACTAAAAGAAGCAATCAGAAAAAAATAGCTTTGAAGAGCATTAATTACTTAGCTGCAGTCGGTTGGAGATACATTAGAAAAAATTATCCTTTTTACATTATTTCAGCGGTGTTTACCGTTTTTCTGATGGTCTATGAGACAACTTTCTTCACTGCTAGTCTTGCAATACACCATAAGCGAGTCATCAATAGCTTCAATCCATTGTTGAGCCATGATAACAAAAAAGAATCTAACGGAACACACGATATGATCGAACCCAACGGAATCAGCGTACCGTCTAAACAGCCCCAGTTCGAACCCCTGCCTGGAAACTGCGACAATATCGATGACGTTGCTCATAAGCATGTATTGTCTGAAGATGGTGTACGTCAAGTAAATGACGGGGCTCTTCGGGTAAATGTGGCTGATCACTTCAACAGACTGGAGCTACTGGTCAAAAAGTGGATGCCTAAAATTGTGCTGCACAATGTCGTAAGAGTAGGAGCATCTGTATTCGTCGTCGCATTACTCGCGCTGTCAACTTACCAGGTAACACTACAGAAAAATATCTTATCTTATTGACTTCTGAGTATATATGTGAAAGTAGCCAATATTGCGGCCATTTGACTGAGCAGACAATATATTAAGATCACCAACATGACCCCAATATGAATGGGAATTATTGATTCAACCACTTAAAGTGGGTAGGAGCTTTCTCTTGTTTTAGTTTTTTCACAGAAAATCAGGTACCTCAAATAATCATCGGAACAGGTCGAGTAATAAATCACTTCAACTGTCGAGCATTACAGGCTAGCGAATAGAAAAATAAGACGGAACTAACAAAATCTAAAAAAAAATAGGGGGACATGAAATTAATATCAAAAACAAGTCGGCAAACAACTACGAGTATTAAATAAGCTTTTAGTATTTGCCGAGCGATCACTAAGCCGACAACAAGTGAAGAGACACCCATTGAGCTGAAAACAAAAAATGCCAAAAAAAATTGTGGTCATAAGAATATTTCGGGCAACTGAGCTTAAAAACTTTGAAATCTTGCAACACAAACAACCTGAAATTTTCGAAAAAGAATCTATCATTTTTGCTTTAGAAGCAACAAAAAATAAGGTAACCAAGCCGATAAAACGTAAGCGGTAACCAGTTAGGCCGAATAAAGCTTCTAAGCGAAAAAACTTTCCAAAGGAAAACCAATGAAAACATACGTCAGTGCTATCAATTTTTTAAATTAAAGGATTAAATTGAAAATACTTGCATCTACGATAAAAATTACTGGAAGCACAAAAAAATTTTCCGATGTGGCAACTAAGGCGACAAAACATAAGCAGATAAATAAAGACGCCGATTCAATTTTTCACGGAAACAATTTTCAATTTATACATACTGAAAAACCAAGGTCCCGCGCGGACTCGAACCCTAGACCTTAGGATTATAAATGCAACCGAGTTAACTGTAGGGCAATTGCGAGGAGTCTCGAAATTGCTACAGCTCGCAATCTGAAAACAGATTTGTTTAATAATGTGGTTTACGAGAATACAAGTCTAGAAACGAGGAGAGCTATAAGGAGTGGACAAGCTATTCTTTAAATCGTGAAAACTTAGTTTTACGCCAGTGAAAACAATGTTCAAAACTTTTTTTAGTGCCCTGTTGGAAAAAAAATGTTTTAAAAATTTCAATTTTTGGACTTTTTGTCTTCCTTTTGCCTAATTCATCGTTACTAAAAAAAACTTCAATTTTTTGAACACTTCAGCTTTTCTTTCGCCTAATTTATCGTTACTTTTGAGTATGTCAAATTTCTAGTCTTTCGTAGGAAGCTTCTGAGCTACGTGCACAGCATACGGTTACTATCCTTGTGGGAATTGGGATTATTGTTCCGACCATTGAAAATGGAGAGGAACTTTGTATTCCGGTGTTTAAGTTTTTTTTTCTATTTGATTTCCATGCAAAATCAGATACCACAAATAATCATCGGACTGGGTTGAGTGATATATCATAACAAAGCGTTTTCAGTCGTGATTCGAACCATTATTAAAAATTCACAATTTTTTTTTCTAGTGTCGAGAAAACCGGTTTGAAATTTTTGATTTTTTGTCTTAATTCTAACGAATAACGCAAGCAAGCAGGCTTACAATAGCTGCTTTATGCCTAATTCAAGACCTTAAAAATTATTTTCAAGCAAGTGAAACTAGTTTCTGGAGTTTTTTAGCTTCATTTTGGGAACCAAAAACTTCAAAAAATTTTTTTTTAAATATTATTTGCCTATATTACTGTCTGATATTCTAAATTTTACTTTTACGTCAAATCCTTTTATCACACCAAGCAGAAAAAAACTATTTAAAAAATTGATATAAAAAAAAGATATAAAAGGTGATATAAAAAAAGATAAAAAAGTGATATATAAAAGTGATATAAAAAAGTGATATAAAAAAAGGTATAAAAAAGTGATATAAAAAAGTGATTTAAAAACAGTGATATAGAAACAGTGATATTAAAAAAAGGTATAAAAAAGTGATATACAAAAGTGATATTAAAAAAAGTGATATAAAAAAGTGATATAAAAAAGGTGATATAAAAAAGTGCTATAATTTCGAAAAAAAAAACTTTCTAAACCGTAGTTTTCTTAAGACTTCGGTCGGAACATTCTGTGCTACTTGCACAGTAACCGGCTATCCTAGTTTGAATTGGATTGCGATTATATGCTGAGCACTGTACTGCACAGGTCGTGAATATGAAGCAGTATTTCAACGAGATAGAGTACCAGCCAGACAACTCGAGGATCCTGGACTACTACACCACTTCCCGGAAGTACTACCGTGACCCCATCATGGTCAGTTTGGTCATAGACGAAGAGGTGCCCTACTGGAACAACAGCCAGCTTGACAAACTGCAGCATGTACTACTACTTTTACTTCTACTGCCGTCTTGAATGTTTTTTTTTTACTGCCGTCTTGATGTTTTTTTTTGAAATCATAAACACGAGTTTAAAGAACCGGGAAACCAAGTTTCATTTCAGTAGAGGCGCAAGCGCGCAACTCCAACTTAGCAAGATTAAGCGTTAATCAAAGCAGTTTAAATTCAGCTTTTATTCAAAAAGCTTTTTTTATTTTAGGTATACTCGAAGCTTGCAGCTCAAGACTTCAGCGACAAAGAAATAAACAGTCGAATGCTTCCGTGGTTCGTAATGGTGAACGAGAGTCTGCGCGCAGTGAACAACCAAGCAAGTTTTCGCCGAAAAGTGCGCCAACTTGAAATGATCTACTCGAAAACACCCTATATCAATAACTGGGTTGTAAGCGAACAGTACGATCTGATAAAAACCCGCTTTTTCCTTGCTTTGAAACCAGTACAGGAGAAAAATCTGGACCGAACTAAGCATATAATTAGTAAAATCAAGGAAATTACCTCTGATTATGACTATAAATTGTATTTCACGTCCCGCGAGCTGATGTTGTGGGAGCGAAACAGCCACATGCGACAATCAACTTGGATCACAATTTTGATCGCTCTTTCGAGCTGCATTGCTGTCACTATCTTTCTCCTGCCCCATCCCGTGGTATTCATAACTGTCAGTTTATGCGGGGGGTTCACCATGATCAGCACCCTAGGTTGTATGGCCATGTATGGCATCGAGTACAGCTTATGCACATACATTATAGTGCTACTCATGATTGGGCTATGTATCGACTACATATCACACACAGGACATGCTTATATTGTTCACATGGGCGACAGCAGAATGGAAACTACGAAAAGAGCCCTCGAAAACATAGGTGTGCCTCTTTTCAATGCCGCCTTGAGTAGCATAATCAGCGTATCCATGCTCGGTTTCTCATACTCGAACATGATGCGCCGCCTTTTTGTCAGTATTGTGCTTCTGTTCGGTTTTAGTTTTTTCTATGGCGTCATTTTTCTGCCAATTGTTCTCAGTGTTTTCGGCCCCAGAAAGAAAAAGTGCAACAAAAGTCAGGCCGCTAAAAACGGCACGGCATCTCTTCAAAAAGTTAGCTCGAAATCTCCACTTCGAATGGGAAAGCTGGCTGCCACTGAAAAGAAAAGCTCAATTTCCTCAATATCACAGAAAGTGGGATTTGAGAGCGAGCGTTTAATGGTGCTAAATGGGAAATCGGTTAAGGAGCAGGACCAAAATCAGAATGAACCAATCATCACTAAACCTTGAAGGAACCGGAATGAAACTAACAATTGAAGCACGAAATGAAGCTGACAATTCATAATTAAAGAAAGACACTTTTTCTTTTGACAATAATTCCAATGTATGATCGACCTTATCGAATTTATTAGTCTCAGTCTTTCGTGTCCATATTTAAAAGTGAAAAATGTCCTGTAAATGCGATTTAGTCTCCCAAATTGTTTTCCATATCAGATAAATTAAGTAATTTTATTTTCTCCGCCGTTTTGATATCAGAACTACACAATGCTAAATGAAGTAAGCTTTTTGGCGGCTACAACAGCTAACACAACGAAAGCCATCCACGGCTATTGGTTCAAGCTTAACTTTCAAAGATTTTTCAATCAACTTTTCGAGTCCTGTTCAAAAACCTGTTCAATGATATAAAAGTAAAGTTTCTCTTCAACGCACACACAAACACGCACAAGCTAGAACAGCAAGCCATTGAAAAGAGACGTAGTGAGATTTGAATTGGAAAAGATAAGAAGATTTGCGGGCAGATGTTTGAAAAAGAAAATGATTTTTGAAATTTTATGGAAAAATCATCTTATGGCCAGCCAGCCAAAAATGGTTATCTCAAAATAGTACAAAGGGGGATCCTTTGGGTCGACAGGGGGTCGAAACCCTGATGGGAGGGGGCGTCTGCCCCCGCCTATACCTTAAATCCACCACTGCAGAGGCGTTCCGAAGGTTCGCAACACTTGCCTACAAGTGAATCATCATTATCTATTATAACTAGCTTACGCGCACGAATAATCGATACCCGAACAAAAATTGAAAGAAAACTATTCAGATCACAGAAAGACAGTTGGAAAAGTTAGAATAACTTTGAGACACAATAACAGTGAGACAAATTCGAACCAGTGCTCCTTGACAAAGTCAACAAAATATTTTCAAAAGTCAACAAAACATATTTTCAATATGTTTTTCAATACTCGTTTTTTACACTGAGTTGAAGCGACGCTACGCTTTGTGCCGCTGGCGATACCACACAAACATAGTATTACAAGCTAGCAGACAAAAATGAAACGAAAATCACTAAAAAGGAAACAATTGAAAGAGTAAACATAATACTAAGAAAATTTCCATTACGTTTAACTTGAGGGAAACACAATCAGCAAAACAATGGCCGGCATGAAATGCGTATTAAAAAAGCATTTATCGAACAGCAATTAAATCGAAAAAACTCAAGTAAACTCTCATTGCGACAAAAGCAAAATTGTTCTCATGAAACCCTTTGATCTATAAAAATCTTTTATATTTTTTAAACCTTTTTAGATTCTTGAGGTAGCGTAAAAAATGTGTTAACCTTGAAACGACGCAAAATTAGCTCACTAACCCAATAAAAACATAAAATGAAAATGGTAGGTCCGAATAAATCATTAAAGCGAAAAAAGGGAAATCTACCAAATCAGGTGTTGTAAGGTATATTTAACCAGCAGGTGACTGATTAGCTGGAATCCGTATCCTTACGGAATCAGGCTCCGTGATAACTCTACAATCGCTTGTATTCTTAAGTAGCAAGATAACGCGATCACGGTCTATTATTTCCCGAACTGATCCAAAGATAATAATATGGCGACAATGAGAGCGAACATAAAGAGATGTGTCTACGACTCTTCTGGTGTGACGTGAAGGCTACCGTCTATGAGCAGCCTTCAAGGCCGAACATAAATCAAATCGCGGTGCGGTTACTAGGCGGAAATAACCCAATTCGACCAGGGTAGACTGATTGTTTTTCTTTTGAAACGTAAGTTTTTAGTTTGAAAAAAAAAACAGGTCAGGGCGGGTTCGAATCGAGAACTTCGCCAGCCTTGGCGTAGACGTAACCACTAAACTAATAAAGGCGCAGAAACCAAGAGGCTTGAATTTCTTCTAAATTAAGCTATCAAGTGATTTTCTTAAGCAAGGTGTTAACCTTAAAACAGTCTGAACTCCGATTTCATTACGCTTATCTTTTTCAACCGTAACCATGGGCCAAGGGCTATCATATGATGCCTAACTCAATCAGCTATGACCTTGCTTAATTGGATACTATCCTCTCCAAAAATAAATCTTCTTTTTACGAGTGCTCGATAACTAGAAAAATCGAACACATCGAAGCATTATAAATCATTAAAAAAACAGACAGGAGCTATCCTTAAAACAAAAAATGAAACAGAAAAAAAACGACAAACAAGGGTGATCGTTTTTTTTGTACTCATTAACACAGAGGCGAAGCAGCGCTTCGCAAATATTTGCGAGAACACGACCAAAAAGCAACTCTATCAAGTGAAAACAAAAAAATAGAAAAAGGCCTCGAATTAGCAAAAACACGGCTACGTGTTGGATTCGAATCTGCAAGCTAGCAAATTTAAGTTTCACGCACTAATCACTCAACTAAGGAGGCTTAAAACTCCAAAAAACTAGCCACCAAAAACGCAGCTACATATGCTAATAAATTTAGCTACATATGCTAATAAATTTAAAATGTACAAAAAACATATTTTCGATGAAAATGATGACATTTTCATCCCGAGAAGCATCGTCTTGAGATCAGAGCCAAATTCATATTAGGAAAAAGACCGTAAGTCAACCAAATTAAACAGAAAATGCTATTTGACGAAAAATATCAACTGCAAAAATTGGCAGCCTAGCAACCCTTCCCCCTTTTAAATCACACGAAATATTCATATTTCAGCAAAGAACTTTTTCAAACTTTATAAATAATTACATTGATTTATACCACAGAAAAAGGCTATTTTCAAAAATCGATACCATTGTTTGCGCTCGTAAAACAACTTTGGGTCCATTTTTATTACTTTCATAAATAGAAAGCGTCTATTAAGTCAAAACAACGTAGGTAAACGCAAGATAGGCGCCTAAAAGTCAAAAATTAAGCAAAAATATTAGTATTGTGTTTGTCCTGAATAGAAAATTCAGCAGTATAACTAATTAAAAGCTAAAATTTTGAATTTGAATCACCTTTGACATACATGGAAAAGATCCGATCTCACTTTTGAAATTGATCTAGTATGGGGCATCTCAGCCAATGGAAAAGAGTCCTATATCTTTTAGCCCAAAAATTTAAACCTTTTGGAGCAAACATTCAATTGAATCTGACTTTTTAAAAAAAGATAGCCAATTGCTGTGCAATTAGCATAAACTTTTCCGCCCAAATTGACTTAAAAGATAATATTAGATTAAATTAAAGACAACATTTAAAAAGCTATAAAAATTTCGCCTCTGAGTCCGACACAGAGGCGAAGTTGCACTTCGCATACACAAGCAAAAATATGACCGATAACGCTAGTGGGAAAAACTCAATGAGTAAAACTTAAAATCTACAAAATTTCTTGTGGCGCACGCCAACTATGAGTCAACATAACTGCTAAGTGATCCAAGCCAATTATGACGCATTAGCAGTACAAGTCAATTTGAAGAAAAAAAACCAACTAACATGCCTAAATTTATAGAGCGGACGCATTTTAACTAGTATACGAAAAATTTCGATAAAAACATCGGACCCTGCCCAGGTTCCAACCCTCTTATTTTGTTGCCGGTCTGCTTCCCTACCTCTACGCTACAGATCCATTATACCTTGAAGCTTAAGTGCTATTTGTAATATAAAAGTCTGTGTTAATATCCTTAGCATTTGCTGTACTTAATAGCTCGTTATTGATCAAAATGAACACATTTTGTTGCAACAATATTTGCGTCGAACAATACTTGCGACTTAGGTTGGAAAAAAAGACAGTTCATATTAAAACACAAGCTTTGCTTGTGTAAATAACGAACAATAGGGCTTTAACATACGACTCTTCACACTTGACCCCTACGACCATTCCTTGGAGTAGTCAAAATTGAATAAATAAATTTAAGCTTTCATGATAATGAATGCGACAGCACTTCCTCTGGTGTTAAGAAGATAGCAAGTGATCTACATATGTATTTTGAAGACCTATATAAGAGAAAATCACTTCGTTCTTTCACACTTTCTTACGAGGTTTTCAGAACCATTTTTCACAACACTGAAAGAACATGTTAATCATTTTTTAAAAATCTTAAATATCTTTTTAAAGAGTTTAAATATCATCCCACAATCAACGAGCTTTCTAAAAAAAATTACACCTAGAGAAATAACTATACGCCATAGTTCATTCCCGTCACTTAATGACGTGGTTGGAATAAAATAATTCAGAAGATTATTCAGGGCTGGAAATAAAAAATATATAAAAGAAACAATTCAAATTTGTGAAGCTAAGAAAATTACATTCCGCAAAAAAACTGATGAAAATAACAAATGGAAAAATTACACGGATACGAAGCGGAGTTTCGCATCACTTCTGACACCACAAAAACAAAACATTGTAAGCTAGCGGACAGAAAATAAGGAAGCTATTACGTCGATAAACAATTGAATAAAAAACCTGGAAAAATTAACATCGGTCTCCTAAGATGTTCAATTTACGGAAAATTCGATCTGAAAAATGCCGAAAAATACAACCTCCAGCGCCATAATAGCGTTAGAAAGATTTAGCGGTAACTAATCCGATAAAAGCGGGGTAGACGCCTAGTGTGCCGAAAACAAAAATGTTTAGGCCTCTCACTCACGGGAGATAAAAAAAGATAACACATACTTTGCTTTTCAGAAAAGCAACACCAAGTTTTTGAGCCAATATACAACATAGCCAACTGAAAGTTAGAAATAATTAACGCAAGAATTTTACAGAAAACTTTCGAATTTTACAAAAAAAAAACTAAATGGCCTAAAAGCTATTTGAATTTGAAGAACAATTTATGTTTTTGATAAAACTCGCCGAGTTTGAGAAAACTGGATCAATAGGTAAACTTTTTGTTCCGCTGGGAAATCTGAACATTAAAATCTACTTCCGAAGTGAATCATCTTAGAAGTGAATCACATTTTTCGTGACCATTACATTTTTGCTGTTCGATAGTGAAGTTTGCCTTCCTTTTAGCAATGGAAACAACCTGAACTTAAAAAGAAAAGTAAAACCGCTGAAAAACTAGAGTAATTAAATACGGTTATTACTCTTAATGAAAAAGGCCGGTCCCATTTGAACCAAAAAAATCTTTAAGGCAAAAAATTAAGAAAGTGAAACTATCTAGAATCAAGGACGATAAGTTAACAAATTATTTTAAAAAAATCAAAATGACTTTCAACTATAGGTAACTTGCTAAAATCATGAAACAAAAACACGCTGTGGCAAAAAACCGAAAAAAAAATTAACCATAGGAAAATTTTTCCAGCTTAGACGAAATTTGTCAGTATGCAGATGGACTCGAACTGTACGTTTGCCGTCACAGGCATACACTTTACCTTCACGCCAAGTGTGCCCCAGAATATGCAGAATTTGAAATTATACGGGAATTAAACCGATAGTTTTATAGCTGAATACCCAAAGTAAAGCCTAAAAATATTTAAAGCCTTATACTGTTCTGATATACGTTATTACATAACACGCACAAACAAAAATCAGTTAAAAATTTGGAAATTAGGCCGACAGTGGTCAAGTCTACAAACATGAAGCCAAACTGTTGTCGTAATAAGAAATTAAGACCGAAACTCTGTTTTTACCCAAAATGATTGGCATTAAACCGTAGTAACTAGTTTTAGTAGCAAGTGGTAAAAATGCAAGAAACTTGCAAGAAAATGAGATATCATTCAGCAGCACAGATGACTCAGCGATTTTGTTAACCAAGTTGCTCAGCCACAATCGTCGATAAAAGTCGATCAGTCAATTTGATGACGTTTCCTAATCACAAGCGTAGCACAGAGGCGAAATTGCATTTCGCATACTCAAGCAAAAATATGGCCGATAACGCTACTGGGAAAAACTGAATGACTAAAACTTTGAGTCTACAAAATTTCTTAAGTGACACACGCCAACTATGAATCTACATAATTGTTAAGTGACGCAAGCCAATTATGAGGCATTAGCAGTACCAGTCAATTTAAAAAAAAAATACAAACTAACATGCCTGAATTTATAGAGCGGCTGCATTTTAACTAGTATACGAAAAAGTTCATTAAAATCTCTCCCCTAAGTGACCAACCGTAAAATTTTCCCCCAAGCCGCGTATTAAATTTGAAAATTAATTCTGTATAATTTATGGATTTTGAACAAACGCGCACATAAAATTAGTTGTCACAATTTTTATGTGAGATTGCATTTGATTGAAGCTAACGTATTGTTAATAAATTTACTCGAAATAAACTTAATTTTCTATAAATCTAAGGTATGCTCAAAGTTGTTTCCTGAAAAATCTATATTTTCTCCCCCCTAAATCAATTTGGGGGGGGGGCGAGGGAGGAAATTATACGGTTGATCCGTCTGTGTTAACATCCTTAGCATTGGCTGTACTTAATAGCTGGTTATTGATCAAAATGACTTTCAAAATGAACACATTTTATCGCAACATTTGCTTGCAACACTATTTGCGACTTCGGTTGGAAAAAAAAGAGCTTATATTATAACCGAAGCTTTGCTTGTGTAATAATGCAACTAAAAATTCAAAACAACCTGAAGGAAAAAAAATGCAAATAAACCAACAAAAAAATCTTTAAATATTAAAACAAGCATAGTCGGATGATGTGCAACTAGCGCAGACATTTTGACCACGCCTATTTCTGCAAAAACATGGGAAAAAAACAAAATCCATTTGTTTAGCAAGTGAGAGGGCGTGAATTGATTAAAAATGTATTTGAAATTAGTTGAAACTCAGTCTGAAATGTCCAAATTGAACATTAGTCTGAGAGCAAAAAATGGCCTCTTTTCTAGGGGGAAAGTTTTTAGATAATTTTTGAATTCGAATCAAGGCCAACTGGTTTCTATAATGATACCACATGCAAACACCTACGAGCTTTCTCTGAGCGTCCTACACTCGGGGGGCACCCTAAATCATAGCCCCACTGATTGGACGAAACGAGAAAAAATTTAATCAGGACACCAAGGCGACGAAGACTGTCGCAACACTTGCGGTAAAACACAAACGTAGCACTAAAAAATTAGCAGACAGAACAGAAAATCAAAAGAAAGCCACAAAAACAGGAAAAAATGAAATTTAGGAAAAATTTTGAAATTTTTGTCTAAAATGATGTTTACCTTGAGGAGAACACGTCCAAATACAACCGGCGTTAAATAACGAGGCTAATTCAAGCTCTGTACCACTTTTGATTAAAAAAAACATACCTTGACAGAAGATAATCGATAAAAGTATTACAAAGATTAATGAATCTAAAAAAACGTTTGCCCCTGTAGCTTTAGGCTCTATATTTTTTCAAGATGCGAAGCTGCACATCGCAAAACCAGCCAAAACGCATAAAGTAACCCTACAAGGGGCAAAAGTGAAAAAATAAAGAAGAGGTACAACACTAGCTACCAAAAACCAGATACAAAGATAAAATGCAAATGCAACAAAAGTAAACCAGATAAAAGGCTAACGCGGCAAAATTAAACCAGATATAATGCTATTGCTGCAAAACTGAACAATTTAATTTAAGACATAAACTGGAAAAAAGTTGCGTAGTATGAGACTTTAGCTGATACTAGAATTGCTATCCTTAATCAAGCAATAAGACAAAATTCAACGATTGGTAACTATGCAAAACTTGGTTAGATTCCCATTAAGCCGAGACATTTTAAAAATATAATGATTTTTGAAATTCGAAAGTTAGTCGTCAAAAATTAAAAACTTTTTAATTTTTAAGACAAATCACATCAAAAAAGCAGTCAGAACGAAAAGTAAACGTAAAGCAAAGAAATAAAACCCCAATTTTCTGAAATACAATCGTTCATTCGAATATAGTTAAAACAAAAAAGCCTCAGAAAAGTCTAAAACAAAAAACTGAATGCAAAAAAAAAATATTTAAGCAAGCATACCCGGTTGATGTGCAAGTAGCGCAAAATGATCAACCACGCTTATTACTAAAACTGAAATATTAGAAAATTGATTTCTTTAGCTAGTGAAGGGGACTGAATTGGTAAATAAGCTATGCGAAAAGATAACAATAGCTAAAACAAAGCAAAATTTGAAAAAAAAAATCAGATTGGAGATTCAGTTTGAAAATTACTTTGAAAAATGAAAAAAAAATCAGTCCTTCGTTTCTCGGAAAGAAACTTTTTTTATTTTTCAAATCCCAGTTACGAATGATACTAAAGATTAACTAAAGATTACCCTGAAAAATGAAAAAAAAAAGTCCCTTGTTTCTCGGAATATTCTTGATTTTTCAAATCCCAGTTACGAATGATATGGCTTGATTATGATACCACATTTAACCCCCTCCGAGCTTTCTAAAACCAGCCTGCACACAGTCGAAGCTTCGCTTCGCAAACACTGGCGAGGAGAACACGACAAAAAGCAGCGCTATCAAGTGCAATAAAATTAAGAGCCTCGAAATAGTAAAAATTCGGCTACTTCTCGGATTTCATCTGCGACCTAGAGATAATGAGTCTCACGCACTAACCATCCAGCCACGGACGCTTAATAACTCACCAACACTAGCCACAAAAAAGCAGAGAACAGATGCTATCAAAATTCCACTGCTACAGATTGTGATTACAGCTTATGTGCCACCAAATAAGTGAACACTTTTAATAAACACTTTCATTTGCGAATTAGTTTAGAAAAAAAGGTTCGTACTAATACACTACGCTGAACGCCAGCGTAAAAATACACCCTACACTATTTCATTCTTACTTCATAGTCTAAAAGAGCGAAAACAAACAACCTACTTCCAATAGTAGTCAGATTTGCAACAATAAATTAAAATCTAAGCAAAATGTATTCTAACTCTAAAATAAAAAAATATAAATTATTTATTGATAGCATAATGATATTTCCAGTTTAAATAGTTTTACTCTAATTGGCACATTTGTAGAATTTCGGCAAAATCAACGCACAAGAAGTCAATTCTTTCATGCTCTGACTTTTCAGTAGTCAGATTTGCAACAATAAATTAAAATCTAAGCAAAATGTATTTTAACTCTATGAAATAAAAAAATATAAATTATATTTTGATAGCTTACTGATATGTCCAGTTTAAATAAGTTTTACTCCAATTGGCACATTTGTAGAATTTCGGCAAAATCAACACACAAGAAGTCAATTCTTTCATGCTCTGACTTTTCTCCAGTTTCGAAGATCAGTAGCACATACTGCTCCTTGGATCCAGGGCAAATAACTGTATCAATGTCCGAGTAACCACAGAACTGATCATCAATGACAGTCCAGGGCTTCGACCACGTTTTTCCACAATCACTGCTAAGCCAGAGAGTCAGATTTTTTCTAGCTGAAGGATGACCGCAATTGATCGCAACCACAAACGTAACATTTTCGTGGACTACTTTAGCCAAGCCGCCCTGAAAACAATTAATAAATTTCAAAAATAATTAAGTTCAAAGTTAGGTTGAACCAATACAGAGCTGAGAAAATCGTGTAAGATAGGCTAGCATTTGTTTTAGCTAAATAGTTTTCTCAAAAAACAGTCTTTGTTCACTTTACCTTGCATCCTCTGCTGCTACTTTCACTTAGCTCTGTACACAAACTTCCTCGACTCCAATTCAAGCCGCCGTCCAAACTTTTTGCCAATATTCTATATTGGCCATTTCCACATTCCCCCGAATTCAAAAGCAAGCAGTCCCGTTTACATTCTACGATACTGCACTCTCCCATATTTCGAAACAACCCTCCAGAGACACAAAAAGCAAAATTATCAGTTGAACTTGATATGAACCACGATCTACCTTTATCAGTACTGAGCAAACAGAATGAGCAGCCGACGTTTCGAAATGGATACTTCAGGTGATTACTAGAAAGATGAACACTTTTATTTAATTTAAACAGATCGGGATTGCGATAGAAAAAACCAGGCACAACTAAACACCCTGATTGCATTTCAAATCCGTGTCCTGGGCCAGTTACAACAAACTTTGCGCCAACTGGAAGATTTTCGCTGAAATTGTAAGTTATATCTTTCCAATCGCTCCATGTGTCTCCAAAGTCAGAAGAGCATGACACATAAATTTTAAAATCTTCATTACTGGTTCCTTTCAAAATTTCAGATTCCAGAACATGGACACTAATGGCAGATACTAAAAGATAGAGATTGTTTGTGTCGGAGCAACCAACAGGGCAAGGATTCATCGTTCTAAATCCGTCTAGCACAGGTAACTGCTGATAAACATCCCATTTATGACCTTCAGGTGAACCCTTTTTGATTTTTGAAGCTTTGATGCGCCTCATTCCTATGTGCATTATGCCGTAATCCTTGATAGTGTCAAGCCTCTGCTCGCAAAAAGCGAAAAGGTACGACCCGAAGGCGTATATTGCCGGTTTTCGATAATGAGATGCTGATACCTCAAAATCAACGGATGTATAAAATATAGCGTTTTCTGGAACTGTTTGATTGTGCTGAGTTGTAATCCAGTATGACGGTTTCAACCAGTTCCAGTTCATTTCACGTTATCTCCAGATGCCTTCAGATAACGAACAGCGTTACTGCTTTGGTTAAACTATAATATCTGAAATTTAGTAGATAAAAAAAAAATCACATATATGCCAATTAAAAATTTATTCAAGTGTAAGTCCTGCTGATAAAAAATAAAGAGATAAACATAAACAAAACGCAGAGGCGAAGCAGAGCTTCGCACCGCTCGCGATACAAAATTAAATAGTTCGAAAAAATCTACCTCACGCGAAAAGAAATAAACCAATTCTGTTGTAAGAAATCGTCGAATGAAAACTTTTATCTGCAATTTTTTTTAATTTCAAATTTATCTGAAAATAAAACTCTTATTTTAGGTTCAAGAAGGATTCATGCTCCAAAGAGTACATTCATTTTTTCTCATAACTAACTGTGACATTCGACCAGAATGGACGAAAATGCAGTTTCGAGTTTTTAGCAGCGAACCTTCCGAATTGGCGGTTTTGAAGGATTAAGAGCGTTATTCAGACGATTGGACAAATCGTGAAGGCTGAAGGATTCGGAAATTCCTAATTTTTAAAAATTCGAAATGATGACGTAATAATTCTCAGAAACGTCAAAAACGGCCATTTTAGAGAAAAACCAAAAAAGGAACATAACAACGATAGTTGCGACGACGACAACAACGAGACAATTTAGAATCAGAATCGGAGAAAAACAGAAGTAGCAGAGACCGCTCCGAGTTGCAACTATTGTGTCGCTACAATAGTTGCAAAGCCGTTGCAAACAACGGTGAAGGGTGGAAAACCAGCCTTCCGGAAGGAAGATAAGGGTCTTTTTTCCTCGGATTCAAGAATCCGAAGGGGTCTCGGGACTGGAACTCATATCTTTTCATACTAACTTTTAGCTTCCCTATTATGTCCTGAATTGAATTTAATTAACATCTGAATTCATTTTACGAGGATGAGAAACTAGGAGTTGGGGGAAAGGGTTGATCCATCTTCGATGGAGATGATGATTTTTATCTACTGAACAAAAACAATAGTAATATAATAAGTCTCCTCGTGGTCTGGGGATACTGAGAACCAGCCATGAGCTCACTATTTTGCATGTAATTAATTAATTTGAGCATTCTGGTCGAAGCCGGAGAACAGTAACGTTTTTGTCGACCCGATGTTGAAAAGATCACCAAAAGAATTGGCTTGGTAGAGACGGTGAAAAATATGTAGAGCTCTGTTTAGACGTTGGCCAGTCGTCTGAGAACCCAGCTTTATTTTCCGTCGATATGTACTTCCGTGCGAATGTTACATAGATGTTTTTATGGCGCTCCTGGGTGTTATTCTTTTTTAACATCATGACCGGCAGAACCGTTAACGAGCACTCCGCGCCGAGCGGATGCTCACATTAACGCCCTTAATAAGCCAAAACCGCCGGGGCGGAAGGGTAGTTCGGAACGCGGAAGCCTTCCGGATTACGACGAATAGCTTTTTAACCTAGTTAAGACCGAAAATTCACGAACCAGGAAGGGTGGGGGGATCGGCCATCCCCTCGTTCCTTGAAAGGTTTGTGACCTAAAACACTTAAAGATCTATATAAAACCAATTAAAAAGTAGTAAAGTACCCAAGAAAAACAAAAAACATAAAAAATAACCGAAAAAACCAAAAACAGTAAAAAAGTAAAAAATTAGTAGAAATCAACCCCCCAGACAAGATGTGATCCGACCCTCCCGTTTGTTGTTGATAGATATATTGTTGTTACAGGCATTTATATCAATCAATATCGTAACGATCATTTTTGTAGCCCATTTATGAGGCTTGTACTCTAGGGTTGTTTGAGTATTTAAGCACGTTAACGCTAATTTGCGCTCAATCCGGAAGGGTCTGCTGATTTGCGCTCAATCCGGAGGGGTCTTGGGAGAAGACTGATCCGGCAAGCAGTACAAAGAGCGACAAGAAGGGGCTCAACGACAACAACAATCGACTGTTGGGTAACCTTAACAAGTTTTGTATCCCTTTTGGTACAAAAATTTAAGATAGTGACCCTTCACCGAACTGCGAATATCCGAGTTAAGCACCTTAATTCAGTTATTGAACAAACCCGGAGGGTTATAGTATTACTAATATTATTACTTAAATAGCCCATATTAATACCCCTATATCGTTTTTCAGTAAAAAAACAAAGAAAACAGACCGGTTTTTAGGGTCAAAATAGCGATATTTTGATCCCCCCACAAATCGCAATTTTTGAAACGGGAAAAAGCGCTAAATTAGTGTGTTACATCGTAAGTGCACTACTATAATAGGTAGAACCGGTTAAATTTAGTTTGGAAGTGGTTGGAACTATTTTGGTATCAAAAACCGAATTTTCGTGATTTTTGAGAAAACGGATTATAAAATCAGAAAATTTTTTGAAAACTTTGAGTTAGGACAGTAAAAATAGTTGTTCGGACAACGTCCACTAGTGAATCTATAGGTTTTAAGACCCGTTTACCGAAAGCCTTCCGGAGTACAGAGAGATCGAACTTAACGTGTTTGATTCAGTGGATTCATCAGTCCGGAGGGGTCCAAATAGCATAGTTTTTTGTAATTTTTTTCAACTATAGCGTTTTAGATCGGGTCTTTTGTATTGAACTAGAAGAGTATAGGCCTTTTGAGCTCGGATCAATAATTTTTAGGTCGAAAAAAAAACAGAATTGCGGGAAAAGTTAGGCGGAACCTATAAGAGAGAAATTTCTTGACTTTAGAAAAAAACGTTTTGGTTAATAATTTTGGAACTACTGGACAGATCCAGTTGATCTTAATACCAATAGATCAGAAAATAGTTGAGCTTACTAATAGGAGCAAAATATTCGAAAAAGTAAGCGTGAAAATTTTTTGAGATTGTTTTTAGCAAATTCACCAATTCGCGAAGGTAGACCCCTCACGTTTTATAAAAAAAAATTTTGGAAAGCCCAAACACCCCTACCAAAGGGTAGAAACGGTTGAATAAGGCAACTTTACGCTGTTCTAGAAGAATAGGGAAGGCTAAAGGCACCGGAAAACCTTGATAGAGCCGAAATTAGGCTAGCGATAAGACCCTTCACCGTTAGCGTGAGTTGTCAAATATGAGGCTTAACTTCAATCCGGAAGGGTCTAGGGAAGGACCACATACCCTTCCTAGTTGATACAAACAGCATAATAGCATCGAAGAACGTACCCGGAAGGGTATAGGTTGAAAATCAAGGAAGTCTCAGAAAAGCTATTTTTACAAAACCGGAGGGCTCCCAATCCGGAGGGGTCAAAATATATATTTTTTTCTTTCCTAATTTGGAGGGGTCCCAATCCAAAGGGGTCTTACATTTGCTAACCCAGAGGGGTCCCAAACCGGAGGGCACTCAATTTTGCCGATCCGGAGGGGTCCTAATTTTGCCAATCCGGAGGGGTACTGTTTTTGTCAACCCGGAGGGGCATTATTTTATTGAAGGACTTAGGCAAATAGAAGAAAAGATAATAGTGAGGGGTGTTAGGTTATTAGGAGACAGGCTAGGAACCAGTGACTGCACTGGTAACTTGCCTTTAAAAAAAAAGGCCAGACCAAAACATAACAGGTCCAAACTCGGATATTCGCGACACTAAGTCTAGAGTTTGTAACTCATTGGTGTGGATTGAAATCCTAAAACGTTTTTGAGAAAAGTGATTGCCCTGAGGATTTAAGTAGGTCTAGCTCGGGCAGTCCGAAGGCAGATAGGTAACACAGGACTCGGTGGGTGGAATAGACGCCCACTTGAGAAAATTACTGCCTTCAAGTTTTGTCTGTTTGGTGCAGCAACAAGCAGGGAAAGCTCTTTCTTTATAAAACAAGTTCGAATATTGCACTGCGACCGACTAAAAGTACAAAACACATACGTTTTTCATAGAGTTATTCTTATTTTGTTATATCTGGTTTTAAATCAACAGTTTGTGCTTGATTGGGTAGTGAATACACTATCTTTTAAATTGACTGATATCATCATACTGTGCTAGTTCTCAAATCTTACAACTAATAATCGATTTTTGTGAATAAGTTGTAAGTACGCTGTGCCGTAATAACATACAAGGATTCGTGGGCACTATTTAATAGAAACTCTTGGAATTTATTGTGTTGTGTTATTATTATCAGTAGTCAGATCAAAAGGACACTAACAATCGAATTGAGTGTAAAGATAGTAAGAAGTGATAAAGTGAAAATAAGTCTAGATAAGTCAAGAATACCTAAACGAGGTAATAGCTCTAGGAAATTCATACCTAAAAAGCAAATAAAAGCAATGACCGACCCTTTTGTGGAACGCATCACACAAACCCGGAAGGACAAAGGGGAGACGGTTTCAGGCAGAATGGTTGAAACCAGGAGTCAGAAGTCCTCAGAAGAGCGAAAAGCTATGCTAGAAGTGGAGGTCTATCCGGACCAGGCCATGAATGAGAACCAGGAAATACATGGACCGGAGGGGAGAGACAGAAGGCTGGCGAGTGAATCTACTCCGGTAGAACAAGGCCAAGATTTTGCCACTTCCACCGGGACACTGGACCGAGAGGAAATGTCGGAACTGTCCGACATCTCTACTGAATTGTGGCAACTAGAATATCTCCCACAGACAACACCATGATGGCAGGCGTGACGGAGAAACAGAAAACGTCCTCATCGTTTTCAGAAAGAATGAAGAACACTTTCGGAAACATCTTTCCATTCACCATGGGAGTGGGCGCAGGAAATGAAGGCGAATCCCAGGAGGAAGAAGAGTACGATGAGGGGCAAGTGGACTTTGGACCTCAAGTCAGCCTCAATAGTTCGACCCAGGAGAATGAGGCGTACACCGACAGAGGGACTGGAACCATGGACAAATTTGGTGTGGTGAGAACGATAAGCGAAAATGGAATTACATCAGGCCAGTCAAGAGATCTTGTGAGTATGACAAATTCAGAGAGGCGAACCGGGGAGAATAGAAACATGGGGCTAGGCAACGCATCGGCGGATCCTGAGGTGGATAATGAAAAGACGTCGAGGCAGAGAATCAAAGCCCGAATCTCGACCAGCACGAAGCTACCTGGGATCGACAGGGTGACACCGCCACTAGTGA